AAAGTTTCGTCAACGCAAAACCTCTCAACAACTTTATCACTATTACGCTTGCTGTTATTATTCACCAAATATGACGGGATTTCACAGAAAACTTTATTTGCGAAAAAGCTTACTATCTCTACTAGACTATATACAATCGTGTCCAACATTCAATAGCATTCGCCTCTAATCTAATTGTTGTTATCCGTTTAGCGAAGCCCTTGTTAGAGCTACCGAAGTTCGTAACTCTTGCCCGTTTAAAATCAAACTATTAGAAAACCTTTCAGGAATACTAATGGACATCTTGCCTAATTCAGCAAATCTAATATGTATAATTTTTTAAATAAAGTAACTTATTTGCTATATATAGTTAAACCCGCCTAAATGGAATAAAGTTCGAATAACATATGCTTTTATACTCTAAAAGTCAATCAGTGGATTGTCACCGAAAACAGTGAATGTTTACGGATTCACAGTTACAAGAATAATTCAGTGCTACACTTGTAACTGTTTGCATCATATATTACAATAAAACGCATTGAAATATTCCTGATATTATCGCGGAATGTTCTTGCGTCTCTGATTTTAATGAAATTACGTCTAGCGTAAGAAATTAAAGCTTGGCAATGGTATATAAGCGTTGGTATTGACCGTGTAATAGGAAGGGGAAGTCATTTCTAAGGAATCCTCTTTAGTGTGTCTCGGACAGTCTAACACTGTAGTTACTCTCTCGCGTTCATATTTCTGGATTTAACCGTCCGTTATATTCATCATCATTCACATAATGTACAATTGTAAGGATCGCAAATGTCAAAGTAATATCACAAACAACGTATCGTTTTCGATTCAGTTGAATCTCTCGCTTCTCTATCTTCTATCGAAATTAAAGAGATTTCTTTCTAAGATCCCACGTCTTTTTCCATGGCAGATAACGGGAATGCGACCGAACCACCTGTGCCACCGCGGCGAACGAAACGCAAGATCAAAATTGCACCGATCCAGCCGTTGGCGAGTGGAGCTGCAACGGAAACCGCGAACGATGTCGTGATATCTCAGCAAAAACGTCCGCCGCCACCGCCGCCTCTGCCGGGCAAATGTCGACGAAACAATTCGGGATATCTTGAGAACCGCCAGCCGCAATGCGACACCGCCGCGAACTGTCCAAGAGTCGAAAGCGGGCAACGCCACCGCGAGACCCGCGTCATCAACACCGCGTCGGGGATGATCGAAGCGAAGCCTCACGACGATACGACATCCGCGAGAGACAGCTCGACGACGAGCAACGGCGCAAACGATGACCCAGTTCCGAGGTCAATCGTATCGAAATCGCCGTTTCTGTCTTCCCGCGACGTCGCGTTGTCCAAGCGCAAAGCATTTGACAAATATCCATCGCTCTTTTTCACACTGCGCGATTTCGAGAACGTCGTGTCTGATACATGGAACAGAAACGATCCGGAGAACTCACAAAACTTACACCAGGAGGATTCGTCGAAAGCAAGTATGCTGGACGACGGTGACGTTTGTTTCCGCGTGACGACGACGACCCACCCGTTCGAGAAGTGTCTGGACAGATGGAGGGACTCTTTCGACGACGATGGCTTCGCTCGGAAGTTTGACGATTGCCGATTCGAAGTTAACACGAGCGAAAGGCATCGAACGAATGACAAGAGATCGTCTGGCAATGATGTTTCCAATGATAATGACGATTCAAAGTGTCGTACGGGCACGAAGGTACGATTCGTGATCGACTCGCGAAATTCTTCCCCGTCCAGACGCGACTCTAATGTAAAACTCGGCGTACCGTGTGACAGTTCGCGGAGCTACGAATCCATTCTTGGCGACGAACGAGCTGGCGAACAAAGCGCCGGTTCTTTCGTGAAACCGGCTGAAATCCGAGAGGAATTCGCGAACGTAAAAGATTGCCGCGACAATACGCGAGATGAATCATACACGGGTGTCGAAAAGAGAAATTCCGCAACGAGAGAAGACGATCCTTTTGTACCGGCGGGCGCAAACAAGGTTGACGCGAAATTAAAGACACGCTCGCAAACGTATTGTGACTATAGAAATAACGACGTTAATGGCGAGGAAATTCGCGAGGACAACTCCGATTTGATATCACGACACGTGCAGACTAGCGATGAGATTCTCAAACCCGGAGAGGAAAACATAATATCGTTGGTAACGAGGAAAACTATCACGAGCGAGGAATACGATGCAAAACAAGTTGATCAAAGTGGTACTTCTTTAGCAGTTCGTGGTCTCGCAGATAAAAGTTTAGAAACGACTTGCAGAATCGAAGAAACGGCGAAAATAACTGAAAGACGAATACATCGGGAAGAAATGTTTTTGAAAAAAACCAGCGATGACATCAAAGAGAAGTGTGCTGCCAAGAACGAAAAGATCTTGTGCCATGAGTCATCCCAAAATTTCTTAAACAAATGCAATGATGGTGAATCAAACAAGGGCATTTCCACTGACAATTTCATAAATAAATCGGCCAAAATAGAACAGATTCGAGGACTTCCTGAAGAGGCTAAGGAAAGAAACACTTCTGTGGACACCAAGAATAACCACGAGATAGTTTCGTCGTCGGAAAATATTATCACAAAGTATACTCCCATGAAAGTTCGGCGAAATTCTTTTTTAGAAACCATGCTGTCTGATGATTTAACAGATATCTCGATGAATTACGCGGTAATGTCTGCTGTAACTTCAACAAGCATTGATAAAGAATTATGCGACCCTACTAAGTCATCAAATAGAAATCGGGAATTGGAAACGGATATCACAAAAGAAAGTGAACGTTTGCGTAACTTTTATAATGCGACAGAAATGGATACAAAGGGTCAAAAAGTTTTACAGAACTTGAAGAAAATGGAAGAAAAGACCGTCAAGATTGCAAGCGTAAAGTCATCTCAATCAGAGAATAAAAGTGCCACTGACGTAAAGAGTGACGTGCTGAATGAGCTTCTCTGCAATTTTAATAACATAAAGTTGAAAATAGTGAGTCCCGAAAATAAAAAATCAGTAACAAAAATAGAAGTTGACGAACATATTTCTCGCTCGATTGCGATCGATAATAGAATTTCCAAAGAAAAAGAGAAATCTAAATTTGAAAAATCTCAAAACGATGTCTGCAGCGTTCCTTCGAACACCAAGGCTATTGTCGCGGACAATGATGCATTAATCGTTGAGAAAATCGTAAAAAAAGATCTTGTGAAAATGAAGATCGAGGAAAGGACTGAAGATCCCACGAACGACAGTCCAGCGATTAGCGAAACAATTGGCGCACAGAATAAAAACACTGAGATTAAAAAGCCCAGCGAATCATCCTTCGATATAAAAAATAAAATTATAAAGGATAATTCCAAGATGAAGATCGGCAAAAGTTCTTCGGATATTAAATCAAAGAAGATTAGTGTAAGGACGAGCGGCGAGGAAACGTCCGAAGGGACGAAGAGTGCGATCAAGGCTAATCGAGAGCATAAAAAATGGCGCGATACTCGCACCCCGAAGACGATACTTAAGAAGACTAGCGTTGTGTGCGAGCGGCAGCAAGAGAGCGAATTCCAAACGAGAATTCCCATCGGGGCACCTGCGACAATGAACAAGATTTTCGATAGTAGAGAGTTCAAAGCGACGCGCAAGGGCAGCCTGGAAGACGGCAGGAGGTGCGAAAAAGCTTCGAGGGAGATTCACACTCGCGGCGAAGAAAAGACTGACGAAGTAATCGCGGACGATGAGGCCGACGATGATCGAAGGAGGATCGCGAATTGGTCGGCATTAGCATTAGTAGCGGATACGATGAGTAGCGGCGATAAGTGTGCCATAGCTAGGAAAACTATTTCCGTAAACCCTTGTAATAATAATGACAATAACAGGGCCGTAACACCCGTAGCTAACGTAAGTAACGACCAATCGTTTCGCGACGTTGTAACGATAACCCCGGGTAAAGTTAGGAGTTTCGTTAAGTATTACGAGATTCGGGGCGACGCGACGACCGTCGAGAGACATTCTAAAATTAACGATAGGGAGAAAGTAGCTAGGCGTAAGTTCACGAAGAGCCAAGCGGTGTCCATTGCCGTGAGAAGCACGCAGCGGCCGGAAATAATAACAAAGGGAACGAAAGCTAGAGACAGGAGCGTTAAATCAAACGACTGCGACTTTCCCAGAACATCGTCCAACAAGACTCAACCTTCGACGTTCGCTCCAAGGATCCCGGAAGAGCCTCTCAACAATCCAGTCTGCAAGACGACAGAAATGGAATCGAAGACGAGGGGGTATGAAAAGAGCGGCTCGCACATGTCGGATAAGGAGACACGTGCGCAATTCACTAAGGCCAGCGCGAAAAAGTCGGTGCAGTTCCTGGGCGGCTTCACTGTAATTCACTCAGAAACTTTCCGCAAGGACGAATCCGTCGAGAACGTTGCGGGCCGCGATATATACGCGTTGAGAAAGAGGAGAGCCCCCGGAGTACCACCGTCGCGGGATTGCGATGATTACCAGAAGTTTGTTCGCGGAATCGCGAAATCGGAGAAACCGCCGAACGTCGGAAAAGATTCCCTCCGACCACGGGAGGCCGTTACTCAGGTCAGTGAAACGAAATTCTACGTATTATTTGATCAAAGAGTGATTATTACTAGATCGTTTACCGTTCACGAGCACCTTTTTATGAAAACTTCTATTGTATACACATATTACATTTCATAAATTTTTGTAATTAGAAAATTGAATATTTTATTAACGCAGTGCTCTCGTAATAATTTCATCATTTTACTAAGCTCCAAATTTTAATTAAGTTAATGAAGGCTCTATGTAAAAACAATAGTGAGTTAAGATAAGGGCGATAAGAGCCTTTGACAAATTTTTTGTACGATATTTAAAGGTATTTTTCGCATAGATGAAAATGAACAAGAACACACCAATTTGTCTTTTTGAATGTTGAATATCGACAAATTTTTATCTATTTCAATCTCTTCAATCTATGCGAATTTCCATCTATGCGAAAATACCTTTAAATATCGTACAAAAAATTTGTCAAAGGCTCTTATTGCCCTTATTTTAACTCACTCTAAATTAAAATTTATCAAAACAAAATGCACTTACGCTCAAGAATAAAACTCGTGTCACATATCTGACAAATAAATCGTCGTTCTTTTCTTTTCAGATACGTGCAGTAGCCGATCACACGCAAAATTCAGGTATTAATCGCTTCGTTTCAAAGCCAGAAATCCCACAGCTCGTATTTTACTGTACCATATAAATAACACACGTAGCCTTTACGAGTCGTCGTTGCTCCGAGTCTCAAGAAAGTTATATCGCGTGTCGAATCCCTGCGTAAGCAGTTTGATTTTTCGCTACCAATTGAAGAATAGATTTTACCACGCTGCGTAATGCTTGCTAAGGAGTACTTTTCGCTTGTCAATGTACACATCGTGTTATCAACTCTGCATATGTATAAACTCAGATTTTGTTTCAAAGACAAAGTCCGGCGTTTTAAGAAAAATATTAACACATGCCTCTCCTATTTGTTGTCTACGCGTCGTCATAAACCAATTTCATTTTTATGTTACGAATTCGTTATACAGTAACTTTAAACTGTGAAGGGAAATTATAGTAACGATTTATCTATTGAAACTATTTGTTTAGCGAAACGTCACGTGTTCCGATAAGCGAGATACGCCACGCGCGTAAATCCGGTTCCACTAAGCTGGCCGCGCGCGTCCCGATAAAAGCGACGAGTGGATTTGCAATGACCAAATTTTCCGTGTGTTCCGAAAGGATTTCGAGGATCGCGGTGAATCGCTCGACAAACAGACCGCTCGCTACTCTAGCTCGAGTGCTTTAACTGCAACGCGGTCTGGATATTCCCGACCGTGAACGAATTTCGTCGATTTATGAAAAATCTTACACGATGCTTTCTTTTCCGCCAAGCAATTGCTCGGTTTGCGACTCTTGAAATACTTCGCGTTTCCTCGGCACAGATTTCTTTCTTTTTTTAT